CTGGGGGTAGGCTCCACGCCCCCATTGATGTCACTGCTGCTGGCGTCCCTCCGGCCATCGTCCAGGGCGCTGGCGGCCCCTGGACCCTTCTTGCGTTTCAGCTTGGCCAGGATGGACGACTCGCGCTCAGGGAAGGGTGGCATCTCCTCGAGCACCGTGGCCTGCGGGTTGTGAGGGGCACGGTCAGGGGAAGGACACTTCCCGTCCGGGGACAGGAAGGGTCCCCAGGGCAGGTGCGGGGCTCTGACCAGGACGTCGGTGCTCGCCACGGAGCTGAGGGTGAGGTACTCCACGGCGCGCTGCTGCAGCTCCACGTCGGCGTTGCGCAGCTGGGAGCCGGCCCGCAGCACGCCCTGGATGGTGTTCTTGGTCTCGGGGAAGAGGTTGATGAACTTGATGTAGGTGGACAGCAGCAGGGCCCGAGTCGCCACGCTGCACAGGTGGAACTTGGAATGCAGCAGGGAGAACTGCACGGGTGGGCTGAAGGGGTGGGGATGGGGTGGGTCAGCAGGACTGGAGTGCCCCACGGAAACTCCCCAGGGGAGCCCCCCAGGGCCCTTCCCTGGACCACCTGCTGCCCCAGGGGCTGACAATTCCATGGACCTAAGGCCGTGGAGGTTGCGTGGCACTGTCCCAGATTCCGGGAGGGCGGGTGTCGGTGACAGGCCGGGAAGATGCCTAGGAACTCCGCCATTACCAGCCCTGGGGCTCCTGGGGGTGCTCCAGACCCCTCAGAAGTTCAGATGTTCACCCTGAGCCTAAGGCTCCCTCACCTGGAGCGGGGGTCCCCAGCAATCAGGTTCCCAAACTCCCCGAGGATGTAGCCACCAACTTTCACCATGTTCTCGTGACAGGCTGGAGCCTGGAGGGCCTGAGGCGGGCAGGGAGGGGACAAGAGGGAGAAGGTCACTGGCCCTGCTCCCTGGGGGCTCCTGCGTGCCCAGCCCAGAGCAAGGCCCTGCATTAACGGCCAGAATCCTCACAACTCTGAAGGATTACAGATGGGGAGACTGAGGCACCAAGAGTAAGTGACTGGCTCCCGCTCATCCAGGAAGTACAATGGGGCAGCACTGGGCCCCCATTCCTGAGGGACAGGGAGTGGGAAACCTCCAAGACTCAGGCAGGGGCCGCTACCCATCAGCGACCCATAGCCGCTCCGTGGAGCTGCATATCAGTTCCCATGCGTCCCCCGGGAGGCCCCAAAAAACAAAGGTATGGGACTGAGGCCACACTGGTAAAGGAAAAACAGGACG